CAAAAAGACATAGCAAATTACACCCTAAGCTGCAATCTACGAGAAGAGTTGGTAGCTGTCTCAGAGAGAAAAGACATCTGTAATGCAATGGGTAAGCATGTTTTTTTTTCTTTAACCAACTGTAAGTTTCTTTAAAAGTAATCAGTAATCCTAAAATGTATACAATAGTTAAAAAGCTACCAGCATTTCTTTAAAAATAGATCATTTAAAAATAATTTCAACTTTTATTTTAGATTCAGGGAGTACATGTACAAGTTTGTTACTTGGGTATATTGTGTGATGCTGAGGTTTGGGGTATGGAATGATTCTGTCACACAGGTATTGAACATAGTACCCAATAATTTTTCAGCCCTTCCTCCCTCCCTGCCTCCTCCCTCTAGTAGTCCCCAGTGTTTTTCTTTTTTCCTTTTTTTTGAGACAGGGTGTCCCTCTGCTGCCCAAGCTGGAGTGCAGTGGCATGATCTCAGCTCAATGCAACCTCCACCTCCCAGGCTCAAGTGATCCTCCCACCTCAGCCCCCTCAAGTGCCTGGGACCACAGGCAGGAACCACCACACCCAGCTAATTTTTGTATTTTTTGTAGAGAGTAGGTTTTGCCATGTTGGCCAGGCTGGCCTTGAAATCCTGAGCTCAAGTGATCCACCCACCTCAGCTAACCAAAGTGCGGGGATTACAGGCATGAGCCAGCATACCTGGCCTCCAAGTGTTTCCTGTTGCCATCTTTATGTCCATGAGTACCCACTGTTTAGCTCCCATTTATAAGTGAGAACATGTGGTATTTGGTTTTCTGTTCCTGTGTTAATTTGCTTAGGATAATGGCCTCCAGCTACATCCATGTTGCTGCAGAGGATATTATTTCATTCTTTTTTTTATGGCCATGTAGTGTCCCATGGCGTATATGTACCACATTTTCTTTTTCCAGTCCACTGTTGATGGGGCACCTAGGGTGACTCCATGCCTTTGCTATTGTGATAGTGCTGCAATAAACATACAAGTGCATATGCCTTTTTGCTACCAGCCTTTCTTCCACATGTTTGATTCTGAGTGCTGCTTCTGTATTTGAAAGTATTGATAAATCTAATTCCTTCTTCATTTTTGGGATAGGGTCTAAACTGACTTGCGAAAAGATTGTCAAAGAACGGTATGAAAACATGATGCAACAGCAGAAGTTAACACATATTTCAAAACAACAAGCTGAACAGATTTCAATACTACAGACTGAAGTTGAAAGATTAAGGATGAAAACGTTTCCTGCTCTTGTTCAAATGTAAAAACGCTGGCAGGAAAACACAAGGCCAAATCAATCATTTAAAAAATCATTTCATTTGGGTAAAATGATTTCCTTTTCTTTCTTACTGAGAAATTGAATTAGCATGTCCTCTTAGTTGCATGTTTCAGATAAAAAATTGTTTAATTTTAGCCTAAATTGTATACAGATTTTGTCCTGCATGAATAAATGTGTAAAATACCATGAATTGCTGTTTTTATTCAAGAATAAACAACACTTTAAGTCAGAAAGTATTCAATATCTATTTTACTCATTTAATCTGAGTCAGATCAAAGATATTTTCATAGTTATGGTATAGAAAGTCTTAAAAAGAAATTCTTTGCCAAACATTTCTAATTTTATAAAACTGTCAGAAAAGTTTTGAGATTATGGATAATTTTTATCTTTATGCTCTTCTGTTTCTCATTTTCTTCAGTAAGCATTTCTTTCATAATCAGAAAAAAATTACAAGAATATTTAGATTATTCCCTGCTTCACCAATGAGAACAAGATAAATCGTTAGCTTTTTCCAAGCCTTGTATCATTTGTAAATTACAACATATTTTGGCCAGGTGTGGTGGCTCACGCCTGTAATCCCACCACTTTCGGAGGCCAAGGCAGGCAGATCACGAGGTCAGGATATCGAGACCATCCTGGCTAACACAGTGAAACCCCATCTCTACTAAAAATAAAAAGTAAAAAAATTAGCCTGGCATGGTGGTAGGCACCTGTAGTCCCAGCTACTGGGTGTAGGCTGAGGCAGAAGAATGGTGTGAACCCGGGAGGCGGAGGTTGCAGTGAGCCGAGACCGCGCCACTGCACTCCAGCCTAGGCGACACAGCGAGATTCCATCTCAAAAAAAAATTACAATATATTTTAGAAAGATAATCTACATTTCTTTTATATTTTAATAGAATTCAATTTTGTGCTCTACCCAATAGGGTTTAACAAACAGAAAAATACTTTATTTCCATGAAGTAGTTTATCACTTTACCCATGTAGATGGTGATAATTATATAATGAGATGACTAATTGGCCAGAAAACTGCTTTGCCCTTCCATAGCCTGTGGACTGCTGCCCACAGGGATCATGGACCACAGTCTCCAAGTGGTGTGACTGTCTCACTGTTCTGCAATTTATGAACTCAACGTTAAGTTTAATCCTCAGTACCATATCCAATATACACTGATGTAGATAAAGCAAGAGAGCTATTATAAAATCTTCTAATTTAGAAAAAAAAAAATCCTTTAGAAGATGTAATTGATCACCCACATAGTGATCTGTGCTGGATGGGGATGGTAAGGGAAATGATAGGACCAACATTTTGATGACTCCCCTCCTTTGTACTACACTGACTCCTGAAGTAGTCAGTTTGGCTTATTCAGTAGGGAAGTGCCCATGGGTACCATTTCCTACATCTGGGGTCCTTCAAAATTATCCCTGAGAGTTGTAGGGACAGACCCTAGGGTAGGGGTGCAAATACTTTATACTTGAGATGGTATTGCCAGAAGTTCTCTGTCCTGTTGGTTTGAGTCAACCGTAGATGTACTAGACTTGATTTTTTAGTCTTTTCTGGTGACACAAACTCCATTTTCACCTAAGTTAGCTGTCTAGAGACTCCACTTGCTAGTAGTCAGTGCCACAAATTTCACTAGATAATGCTCTGTGGATCCCAGGTCTTAACAAACCAAACAGCCGGCATCATTTCTATTTCTTAGTCATCAGCCTTTGGTGACTCTGGCAATGCTCCTTGCTCGACTGCCTTGCTTTGAGGCATGGATGGAGTGGGGCTTAGTGGGCACCTTTTGCCGTCAAGCCACATTCCAGAAGCCCTTTCAACAGGAGGTACCTTCTGGTTTTCGGGCTTTCGAAGGACACATGGGTCATGCACACTAACTCCTCTCTTAATATTGTTCATGGTATTGACTCCTCTCAGCTTCTGCTGAACAGCAATTATATTCATATTTTATAGTACTTTAAAATATCTATATTATCAGCTAATGATATAATTAACTGGGTCAGACACAGTATGGCTTTATGTATAGGAATTAAAATTATAGGATCTATTCCTGGGCTTCAAGTCTTGGCTCTGCTACTTGAGTTTTAAATAACCACTTAATTTTGAAATAACTATCTTAAATTTCTTCTTTAAAACTGGAACTAGTATTCTAGTTGTTTTAAATTAAAAACAAGTGTTATATTGTATTAGCCCTCATTTTTATAAATAAAGCTATGGTAGTCAGTGTTTTTATGCATCACATTAAATTCAACAGAGCAGCTGCTGTGCTGTTGGAACCTCAGCACCCAGTCAATGCTTGGAAATCCCCATTACCACACCCCTAAGCTTTCCCAGAATCAGTCTCACTGATGCTGTGTTTCCCACAAGTCGATATATATGGGTGGCTCCAGGTGATGTGCCTGTCAGCAGTGGGCAGCTGCAGCCTCTGAGATCTGGAGAGGTACCATAATGACCTACCAAAATGCCAGCACCACCACAAGGGGCAATTTCCTCTGCCACGTTTAAGCCCCTGGTTGGCAGCAAGCAGTGATAAGAGGCTGGCTGGTAAGCACTAGAACAGTACAAGTCCACAGGGGTGCCCATCTAGGAATCCCAGTGCCAGAGGAGGCTCAGATAAGGTCTGGGCCAGTCTCCAGATTCACAAAGGCCAGCGGCACAGGAATTTGTATATGTGGGCAGGGGAAGAGTTTACTGGCATGGCACCAACAATTAGAATGGACACAAAAGCAGGGTCTGGCGTCTCCTGCTGTGCCAAACATTCAACACTGGTTAGATTATGGAGAGGGACTGGGCTGAAAGTGGGATGTACTTGAGGGGGGTTCAGAGGAGTGCTAAACTAGTAGGGAATGGCTTTTGAAAAAGCTAAGTAAAGCTGTTTTAACACTTAAAAGGACCCAAAAGCAGAAATCCAGAAAGCCCTTAAGAATGACTAGCAACTAAAACCAGGAAGCCACTGATCCACAAAATTCTCTTCTATCACCTCTGCCTTTCTCGGTAAGCACACTCACTGCCCTTAAGCATGTCAGCTCTGCTCCTTCCAGGTGTATATACAACAGCTGCAGTCACAAAAAGAGATGGGCTTTCTTTTCCTGAGCTAAATTCCAAATTTTCAGGGACTGGCCCAGCTTGGGTCCTATCTCCATACATGGCCAAAATGATAGGTACAATTGTATAACTTGGTAGCAGAAACCCAGCCCCTGTGGAGGTGGGTTTATAAACAAAATAAACAATCTAAATTTAATCTATTTCACAGATGAAGCTAGAAAGGCAAACAAATGTAAAGAACCTTATATACCATGATACCTTGATGTGGGTGGGAGATAAAGAAATGTAGTTTTATAAGAAATAGATGGTTTAGCCAGGCGCAGTGGCTCACGCCTGTAATCCCAGCACTTCGGGAGGCCGAGGCGGGTGGATCACCCGTGGTCAGGACTTCAAGACCAGCCTAACCAACACGGGGAAACCCCGTCTCTACTAAAAATACAAAATTAGCCAGGGTGGTGGCACATGCCTGTAATCCCAGCTACTCGGGAGGCTGAGGCATGAGAATCGCTTGAACCCCAGAGGTGGAGGTTGCAGTGAGCTGAGATTGTGCCATTGCACTGTAGCCTGGGTAACAGGAGCAAAACTCTGTCTCAAAAAAAAAAAGAATAAATAGATGGTTGTTTCACTAAATCATGAGTATGAGAAACAAATTTGAAGAGACAGGGAAGAATATAGTTTTGGACATATGAGTTTAATTACCTGCTAGATTATCAGATGGAAATATGCGGTAAATGGATGGAAACAAGGTGCATAAACTTAGGAGGCAGAAATTTTTAAACTTTAGGTTTAGACATTTACCAGAGTGGACAATTTTTAACATTTAAAATAAAACTTTTTGCCACAAAAAACAAATGTATTAAAACTAATTTCCAGAACTGCCCAAATGACTTTTTAAACATGATTTAAATATCAAGTTTTCTTTGGCAAGTCTATCCAAAATACTAATTTTCCTTCTAGAAGTTAGTTTATAATTTATATATTAGAGTACCCTTAATTGATGTTCATCGGGATACATTCCTCTGAGCCCTAATAGTTTTGGGAAGCCTAGGCGAGTGGATCACCTGAGGCCGGAGTTCGAGACCAGCCTGGCCAACATGGTGAAACCCAGTCTCTACTAAAAATGCAAAAATTAGCCGGGCGTGGTGGCAGGTGCCTGTAATCTCAGCTACTCGGGAGGCTGAGGCAGGAGAACTGCTAGAATCTGGGAGGTGGAGGTTGCAGTGAGTTGAGATCACGCCATTGCACTCCAGCCTGGGTGACAAGAGCGAGACTCAGTCTCCAAAAAAAAAAAAAAAAAGTGCCTAAATATCTTTTAATTAAGTTGTCATTCTCAAAGATATTCTGGAGCAAAAATCAGGAATTAAACATCTATAAATTCTTCTTCACTTCTGTTATAGTGCAGCAATTTATCATCTAACCCATAGTGGTCTATCAATTGAGTAAGGCTCAGTTTCTTGTTCTCTTCAGACACAGCTGACTGCAACTCATAAAGCAACAGCTGGCTACAACTTCTCCACTTCTTTATTAACAACTGTAACTGAGACAGATCATTCTGAAACAGAAAAAAAAAAAACCATGTATGTATGTCAATAACTAGTCATGCTAGTTCAACTTAATTAAAGTTGTTAAATTAGTGGATATGCAGGTTTAAAGGCTAACATACACTGGGATGAATGGGACTTCTATCTAGGAAAAAGTAGGATGGTCATATGTAGAATGGTTACAATGTCATTCAACTTGAGTTCAATGGCTATTTTGTTGGCTCATGCTCTGGACCATCCTTATGATAAGGGAAAAATCAAATCATTAAATTGGGCCAAAACTATGTCAAGAAGCAGTAATACAGGGAAAAATCTACTCTATTACAACTGTACCTTTTTTAAAATAACACTATACTGTACTTTCCACTAAATTTTGCTATGAACCTAAAACTGCTCTTTAAAATTACAATATTCTAGTTAAAAATATTTTTTTAGGCTAGGCATGGTGGCTCACACCTGTGATCCCAGTACTTTGGAAGGCCAAGGTGGGAAGACTGCTTGAGCCTAGGAGTTCAAGACTAGACTGTGCAAAATAACAAGACTATCTCTACAAAAAAATAATTTTAAAAAATTAGCCAGGTGTGATGGCACATGCCTGTAGTCCCAGTTACTAGGGAGGCTGAGGTGGGAGGATCACTTGAGCCCAGGAGTTCAAGGCTGCAATAAGTTATGACTGTACCACTGTACTCCAGGCTGGGTAACAGAGACCATGTCTCTAAAAAGAGAATGAATAAATAAAATACATTTTTTACTCCTAAATGTTAAAATACATTCAATACTCCTAAATTTTATTTTTAAAAAACCCTAAAATTTCAAGAGAACAAATGAGATATGCTATCTCATCATTTATTCCACATAGTTGGGGGAAAATGAGCTATTGCATATATATGAATTTTCCAGGTAATAAAGGTTATCTCCTTCCATGTACTCAAGTTCTATTTAATTTAACCTATATGAGTTGAAATCTAAAATCTAATATATATTTGGTTTTTTCTCAAATAATATGGCTGAATCACATTAATTATTTGGGGGAGACACAAGATCATAAATAAAATACCTTTTATTGTACTCTACAGCCCATTTTTAGTTTTACTAATTGACTGTCAGCTTTCACTTCTGTTCCCGTCGTACTTGCATCTAACATTTAATACTTCTAATATTGCTGTGGGCTAGAAACTAGAGAAAAAAGTTTAACTGCATATTAAATAAGAGCTGAGATTCTTAAAAAGTTTTACCTGGTGTTTAAAGGCCTTTTCTACTCTAAATCTGGAGTTGAATTAAAGTTGTTGGAAGCCAGGTTTCTGAATATTTGGCTTATTGCTTATTATGATTAAAAAAAAACACACACCTTATTTTCTATTTTTGAAATTACTTTCCTGCAATTTATGTAAAAATAAAAATGATACAATGGTCCCGAAATTCTTCTCACCTTTGATCTATACATTTTGACTAGTTTTAGCCTCCGAAGAAGGTCTTCTTTCTCCTGAACCTGCTTCACCAATTTGGCTTTTTCATCGTTTAATCTTTGTTTAGGAAGATTCTCATTCATGAACTCATTTTGGAGAGCACTGCATGATCCAGAATGAAGTGACTGAGATTCACAGACACTGAGATTCTTCAAAGTATTTTTCAAATTTGTATTTTCTTCAAATTCACTATCTATGTGTTTAAAACTTTCTTGAAATTCCAAACAGTTTTCCTCTGTGGAAGATGCTGGTTTGTCTGAAAAGGTCTGATCATTTTCTTCACTCTCTACTTTAAGACGTTTCACCACATTGTAACAGGAATTAAATGAAGATCTTGTTTTCCTTAATCTTTCTCTAAGTGTTGCACTCATAGGCTATAAAGAGCATAAAACATTAAAAATGTGAATCAAGAAAAACATTCTTGATGTCAGTAAATCACCAGAAATAAAGGCCTTACATTTCTGTGCTAGACACCACTAGATGGCTTTCTGTCTCCACATCTGAAGAAGGCATCACAAAATGTCTTTAATTTCTGGAAGCTCCATTTGTTCTATTTCCTTTTTACTTCAGCAAGATCAACACCTTTCTAAAAGTGTTGAAAGGTTTATCCCAGTAATCAAGGAACATTTGTTCAGTAACAAGCACATGCCTGACGGTACTCCAGGTGCTTCAGAATTACAGAGTAAGGAAAAGACCTAGACCCTGCCACTAAAGACCTTCACAATATTGCACAGATTCTAACTTTCTCCATTAATCTGAAACTAACTGAAATGAATTGATTCAAGAGGAAAATATGGAAAGGGGCTGGTGGGTGTCATATATGTGACCTTAGAAGAAAAACATAAAATTGTTTAATAAAATGTCTACTTATTTATGCTACACATTATGTTAATTAACAACCTTCAGTAGAATTTAAACCACCACTGCCACAATACTTAGAAACACACAATGGATCCACTGGAAGGACAAAGATTTTCATACTTGTTTTCGTGAACTATTTGTATAGGGAGATGATGGATTCGCAGAGGCCTGAGGAGTGCTAGGTAAAACCACAGCTGAGTCTGACGAACTTTCCATCTTGAAAGTGAAATCTTGGTTTTTCTCTAAAAAAGAAAAATTATTAAATGAGAATCAAATTAGCCACACCTCTCCATAGTCGATTTTTATCAAAGAATACATTTTATTGGTGTACAAAGCATCCACAAGTAAGCCAGATATTTCCTCTAATTTCACTTTGTAATTCATTATTGCTCTTTTTGCAGTTTTCCATTTACCTTCCCACAAAGGGACCACTAAGATTTTCATGACACATCAACCAGCTAGTATCTCATAGTCACAACTCTCCTTGTTTTCTTTTCATCCACCAAAATATATTCAAATTCTGCCTTGGAAGAAGGGAATAACAGCTTTAGATAATCAGGAATTCTTTATGATGACAGCTTCATAATTCAAGAAGATATAGCCGAAACCTTGACTCAAAAACAATAGGACCTGAATGTCACCCATCCTGAACTCTACAAGCTGTGACTAGAACCCGTTACCCTGCCGGCCTGAGGCATAAGAAACACAGCGGAGATGCATTTACGCCCTTTTAGTTTAAGCAGCGAATAGGCACTGAAAAGGAGAGTGGACTGAAATTGCTTTCTCCGACAAAGGCATCAACTTTTGAGAGGCAAACCAGGGGCGGGAGTAGTCCCCTCCTTCCCCCCATTGCAGAAAGCCCACTAGATCCCCGAAGACCCCATGCATGAGGTGAGGTTGAGTTCCCCAGACCCGGAAAAGGAGCTCAACTCGACTCCACAGCACACTCCCGGGGAAGCCCAGGTCTCAGGTAACCCCCTTCCCCTCAGCTGAGTACCTCCCTCCGCCATTCCCAGCGAGAGCAAAAAGCGCGCGCAGCTGCGGCCGTAAATCGATCCTGTGGCAGGGGCGGGGCCGTGCGGCTGGCGTAGAAGACGCGCAATTGGCCAGACTGACTAACGCTCGAGACGCCGCTTCACTCAGCGACTCAGAGCGGCGGGACTGCGCGCGCGCCTCCGCCAGCCGGCGGTTGGGGCGGGGCTTGGCCACACGATAGGCGGCCTAAACGCGTGATTGGCAGAATTAACCGGTGCGCGCGGCTCTCCCCGCCCAGCGCCCGAGGGCAGCGGGAGTGCGCGCGCGCGGCCGTGATCCGCAGCAGGTCTTCGGGGCGGGCGAAGCTGAGCTTTGGAACGACCAACCGATCCTGAGGGGGGCGCGCTTTCGTTTTCGGCTTCTCTTGTCTTATTTTCAACCGCCTTCCCTTCAGGCTTCCTTGTTTTTGTGCGTCTGTGAAGTGCGCCTGAAAGTGCCTCCCCCTGCCCCCGCCAGCCCGCCGCCTCCATTCTGTGGCTCCAGTCAGTCTCCTCTCCCCGCTCGTCACAAAGAAGGCTTTCCTCAGATGTGGCGCGGCCAGAAGCCGCACGGCTGGCTGCATGTTAGATTTACAGCTTGTGGACTCCCCAGAGGCAGAGACCACAAGAACAGCGTTGGGTTCCAGCCTGTTGAGAATGAAACATGTTAGAAATCTATCCGAGAGTCCTGGCACTTTAGCTGAGCTCATCGCTAGCTTTTTTGGCTGCCGCAAACTCGGCGGTCCCGTCGCTAGGTTTTTTTTTTTTTTTTTGTAAACAACCGTTTCTGTACCTCAGTATTCAGGCTTCTTAGCGTGACCTCAAATCTTTTACTCAAATCTGAGGGAAAATGTAGCCCAAGGAAGTTTGTTGTGGCGCAACACAGGAAACAGAACAATCATTACATGAGATTGTGTCGGTGCAAAATTCAGATGTTTGAGACCGATAGGGCCTTTGCCGGCCACCGGGCAGCAGCATCCCCAGTCGAGAAAATCCACCCCCCCCGACCCCCCGAAGCGTGGCGAAGTTCTGTTGCTACGCGACGACAAAGTTAGCTACACTGGGTGGAGCACTGGGTTTAGGGAAAGAGTTGTGTAACTTCTGAGTCGCGTGGAAGTTGGGAATTTCCAGGGGCTGGTGTTTTCAGTCCTCTTATTGAATGGCCGTTTTAAACATTGATACCGTCTCTTTACTATTAATAACATCTGACAGTAATGGCTTAGAAGTGGCCAGAAGGGAGTTACCTGAGCCTTAAGCAGTCAGGTATAATAATTACAGAACCTGAGGACTACTTAAGGGAATGATTAGGGGCACAGACGTTAGAGTCAAATTGTCTAGGTTCAAATCCTGGCACCCTACTTTATGTTGTGCCTCAGTTTCTTCATCTCTTAATATGGGATTGGAGAATTAAATGAGAACTGGTAAGAGGCAACTAGAACAGAGCTAGGTATCTAGGAAGCAGTAGTTATTTTATATATTCAAGTGTATTCACCATTCCCTAACTGATTTAAAGGAATGTATCACCTTCACTTACCTTTCACCCCTTGATTTATCTCCCATTCCCCGAAAAAGCACATATATTTTTAAAAGATGCTGTTATCTGTAAGATCCCACACAATGTAAACTATAAATAGCAGAAAATGCAGAGCTTCACATATGATTAGTAATACATATTTCACTCCTAAAAATTTTTTAAATTACATAAGTTAACCCCAAGGAATTTACAAAGTGGAAGACAGAACTCATGATTTTGTGATAAAGGTGTTACTCATCTCACCAAGCTGCAGGTCTCAGTCTGTACATTTATTTCTCCCTTTACTCATTCATTGGCATCAGTTAATCTCAAAGAAAAAGCATAATGATTTGTCCTGACAGTAGAAGCACAATGCAGACTCTGCATATTCTTTATACCTCCCGGCATAAGGGCGAGTTGTTTTTATAACTGGCTAAAATCAGCTGCTCCCAAATCCTTTTACCTTTACAACCTAAGCTTAGAGCTGTGTTTTTCCTGGCTGCAGAAAGGAAAACAACATCTTGCCTTGCAAATGTTCTGACTTGCTTATTATGTGAACTGGTATCTTAAAATGGAATTATTTGGCCAGATTTTCAAAGAACTTCAGAACAAATACTCAGAAAAACCTGTATTTCAGAAATGTGCATTTGTTGACCTACCTCTCTGGCTTTCATGCATTGTTAGAACTGAATTATCTCCCTATACATAAGTTTGTATTTTACTTAATCTTTTCACGTCACAAATTGGAAACCCAGTTTCCTCGGTTTCATGTCAGAGATCTGGAATATAGCCCCTATACTTTTAATTGTACCTTTAGATAATGCATATCATACATTTCAGTGTTTTTAGTGACTTGAAATCTATTAGCCTGTGAAGACTTTGGTGTTTCTGACACAGGACATTGTATGTTTCCTATGAAACTTTTCAGGAAGGAAAAAATACTGGCCCAGTGAGGCAGGAAGTAAAGACTCCTTACCCTACCACAGAGAACAATTTAAGCAATAGAATCCAGTAATAATAGTAATTAATATCAACTCAAGTCAGGCTTTCCATGTATTTTAAAATTTCTTCAGTCCCCAAGGCTACTGTTGGCTACTTTGTTACTCATCAGGGAGTGGTAAAATGCTTCGTTCTTGTCTGTAATTATTGATGGGATGATGATGTAGACCTAAAATCTTTATGAGGTTTTTTTTTAAATTTTTTTTGTTCTTATTCTTGTCTAACGGCAAGAAAAGAATAGTAAATAGCCTCTCTTTCTCTGTCTCTCTCTACCTACACACAAACGCACAAACACACGTACTTTTTAGCCACAATTAAAATGTTCATGTTAATTTTTAAATTCTCAGCTTTAGTATTATTTTGTAAATCTTAACAATAGTCTCAAGGTAACCTAAATTATATTCCCATAGACTTTTCTGTATTGACAACATTTTCTGTGTGATGTGGACATAACTAGTATCCATAGGTTTTTTTAAAGAAACAAAGACATAGGCCGGGCGCAGTGGCTCGTGCCTGTAATCCCGGCACTTTGGGAGGTCAAGGTGGACTGATCACAAGGTCAGAGACCAGCCTGGCCAATATAGTGAAATCCTGTCTCTACTAAAAGTACAAAAATTAGCCAGGCCTGGTGGTGGGTGCCTGTAGTCCCAGCTACTTGGGAGACTGAGGCAGGAAAATTGCTTGAACTTAGGAGGCAGAGATTGCGGTGATCTGAGATCGTGCCACTACACTCCAGCCTGGGCGGCAGAGACTCCTAAAAAAAAAAAAAAAAAAAAAAAAAAGAAAGATAAAAATACACACTTCTGAAACTAGGATTAACATCCACTTGGGTGAGGAATTGTGTAAAATCCACATGATTCAGTTGATTTATAATGTCCATTAGGACAAATTAAACAAACTAAATTTAATACAAATTTATAACACAGGAAAATCTGCCAAATTCTCTTAGCTGACTTTCAACACTTCTTATGACAGTTGTACATAAGTTGAAAATACCCTTCAAAAACTCTTCTCTGGGTTTCTCTTGCCATGAATTCAAGTCGCATCTTTTAGACCCATCCATGGTAAAGTGATATTTTAGTGCTCTGTAATTTCATAAATTTCCCTTTGAGAATAGTTGACAAATATTTCTATTTTTTTCTCTATTACCTAGAAGATCTCGTATGGAATTACATAATGTGTAATGCCTGCACTTGTAGAGACTTTGTTACCAAACATCGATCTTTACGATTTAACTATTTCATATTCTTTAGCCAAGATATTCAAGAGTGGGTTTTATTTTAACTTCAAGATAAAAGGGCCATTGACATAGCTGTTAGGCATGCCACAGCAATTGCCTCACTGAGTAGGATGGTTACTTAGATAAGGAGAGGATCAGTATTATTAGCACAATGAAACCTTTCCATCACCAGGCAGCTAGAAAATGTATCTAATAACTAATATTCAGCACAATGTACTACACAAGAACCTAAAAAGCTCTCTTCATCTGAATTTCCTGTCCTTTTATTCTCTCAGATCTGGCATTTTGTCAAATCCATCAGAGACTAGAGAGGCAATAGTGTCTATGATTCACTGCTATTACTGGGTGTGTTCCCTTGGAGAAGAATAGAGTGATTCAGGTTAGATTAGTAATGGTGAGGGAGAAGGTAGGGCCAAGTGGGTGGAGGGGGAGGGATAGTGGCATAGGAGTTAGATTCTTAAAAGGTAATGGGAATAAAAGTACTGCTCAGGGCCACATTCTTCTCATATTCTTTTTAAAATGTCACTCCTGCATTTATTTGGAGGAAAAAAAGGCATTAGATGTCAGCAAATCCTTAAGCAAGAGAACATGTCTTTTAATCATCTTTAACCACCTTGAAGTTTGAGGAAACAACCCCCAAGATAATTTCACAGCATTGAAATCTGTTTAAAGTGCCAACAAACAAGTCAACTCAGTTTTCTACCCTTGCCTCTCATTCCTGTTTCAGTCTTGAGGGTATGAAAGGTTTCTTCTTGGTGGTATTTTTTAGATCGGGGCAAGGGTGTCTAAGGGTACCAGGAAAATAAGGAATTAAGAGACCATATTCTAGGATACCGTTGATCTTCGTGCTTCTGCTCTTCCACCTCTTGGCAAACTTAGATGATAAGTATAGTAGTAGAAAAAATCTGTGAATTTAGCCTAACCAGAAATTTTCTGGCTCACATCAGGAGCTGACAGCTAGACTGAAATTTAATCCTTTTCCCACCACTCTACCAATCAGGAGAAAACACTAAGTCTCCACTCCCAAAGGTGAGGTAACATTACATTAACGCCATCAACCTTTAGGAGCAGCATCAAACCCGCTGAATGCAGAGCCTCTGACCAGGATGTCTGAAACCCCAGTGAGGACCAGGTGGAGAGGCATGATCAAAGATCGGGGAGGTGACTTGAGCAAAGGCACCTCTTCATGGATCCTCTCCCTTCCACCTCCAAGATTGTGTCAAGTGCTCATGTCCCCCATACTGTGTCTAAATTATA